ATGGAACCCCCTGGAGATGGCACAGATTGGGGACAGACACCTCCAAAGTGACAGTGACACCACAGGGACCTTGTCCAGGTGGCGGAAATCACACGGGGACGTCGCCAAAGGGACGGAGACGCTGCCAAAAGTCCCTTGGGACGGCGAGGATCGGGGACGGGGACCTCCAAAGGGGACGGGGAGGACAAAAAAAACCTTCCCAGGAGGATGGAGATGGGGCAGAGAAATCTCCAAAAGGGTGGAGAAATCAGAAAAAATTCTGAAATGAGGGACAGACACCTCTGAGGTGACACAGAACCTTCTCCAGGCAGTGGGAATCGGGCAGAGACATCTCCAGAGGGACGGAGAAATCAGAAAAATTTCTGAAATCAGGGATGGACACCTCTGAGGTGACACAGGACCTTCTCCTGGCAGTGGGAGTCAGGCAGGGACATCTCCAGAGGGACGGAGACGCTGAGTGAAACCCCACGAAGCGACGGGGACCAGGAGCAGACACCTCCGAACAGCCACGGGAACAGCTGGAGCCCCATCACGGCCACCACCTCCAAGGCGCCAAAACCCCAAAAAAACCCCTCCCAACCTCCCCAAAAAAACCCCACCGGAGCCGGAAAAAAAAAACCAAAACCCAAAAAACAAAAAGCGGGGCGGGCAAAGCCCATCCCCGAGGCGCAGCGGCGGGGGCAGGGAGGAGGTGCCCGATTTTTGGGGGGCTCGGAGCGACATTGGGGGGGCACTTTTTGGGGGGCAGAGGGGACCCCGTTCACAACGCGAGGAGCGAGGGAGAATTCAAGGAGTCCGAGGACTGGTCGCTGCTGCTGCTCCGCTGGTGCGAGGCTCCACACGTGGCTCCCTCTGGGTGGGTGAACACAAACGCGGGGGTGGCGTTAGGGGGTCCCGCCGGGACCCCGGGCTGGAGGCAGCAGCCGGGGAAGGGACCCTGCGGACCCTGGAACGGCGCCGGGGGCAGGAAAGCGACGGTCCCCGCCTTGCCCGGGCTGCTGCTCACCTCGGCCGGGCCGGCGGCACCCACGGTGGCACCGATGTCCTCGAAGGGGACCTTGCAGGCGGGCGCGTGGGCCACCAGCACGAATTCCAGGCGCTCCTTCTCCTTGCGCAGCTCGGCGATCTCGGATTCCAGCTCCGCCTTCTCCTCCTCCAGCTGGTCCGTCTCCTGCGGGGACAGCGCGGGGTCAGCGGGGGTGGCGTTGTCACCCGG